ACATTCTCCTTTTGCTTAAGTCAACTAAGATTGATGTTTAACACTTAGAACTAAAAAAAAATCATAATAAAAAATCAAAATACGAATAATTTATACATGCAGCACCCAGCAATGACCTCTAGTGCCCAGTGAACAGTCAATGTTTAGTTGATAAGTACAATAAATAGAGGGGGCTGGAGAAATGTCTTAGTGGTAAAGCTCACCTGCTGCTCTTACAGAGGACACAGGTTCAGTTCCCACATGGCAGGTAACAACTGTAACTACAGCTCCATGGTACTCTCTTCTGGTCTCTGACGCCTCCAGGCATGCACACAGTGCACATACATACATATAGGCAAACACTTATATGCATATAATACAAATAATTTTTTTAAAGTTTAAATGTAGTAAATATAGAAGGCTGTTCAGAATTTTTGAAATGCACTACAAGCATTATTCTTTCATTTTAATGGAAAAGGAATATGTATTGATTTACAAGTATACCATAGGTAATACAACAAAGCTCTTATTTTTCAAAAGTAATTTTCTACTAGGCATGGTAGCACACACCTATAATCCCAGCACTTGAAAGATGGAAGCAGGAAGATATTACAAGTTCTAGGATATCTTGGGCTACATATTGAGACTCTATTAAGAAAAAAAAGGGAGGAAGGCTAGACTAGGGATACAGTTCAGTGGCAGAACACTTGTGTAGCATGCACAAGTGGCTTCAACCACATTTGCCTTGACCTGCTTCAACTATTTCATCTCATTTATACTAGTCCCTATCTGTTCACATGTAGTTCTATTTTGAAACTGTGATTTTTGTGTTTTACATTATTTATTTATTTATACTTTTATGTGTATGAGTGTTATGCTTGCATGTGTGTTAAGTGCACCCGTGTCGTGCAGTGCATGCAGAGGACAGAAGAGGGCGTTGGATCCCCTGAAACTAGAGTTATAGACAGTTGCAAGCTGCCATGTGGGTGCTGGGATTCAAACCTGGGTCTTCTGCAAGAACAGCCAGTGCTCTTAATCACTGAGCCATCTGTCCAGTCCCTACATTATATTGTATACCTTAAAGTCTCATGATCTTTTAGATTTAGGACAAGTGTATTAATGCTTTTTAGGTTTTAGTGTAAAATGCTTTAAATCTTGTCTACTTTTCTCAGAAGATGGAAAATTTTTTTATTATTTTTATTTTATGTGTATGAGTGTATTGCCTGCATGTATGTAAGTGCACTTGTGTCATGCAACAGCCACAAAGATCAGAAGAGGGTGTTAGATTCCCCTGGAACTGGAGTTACGGACATTGTTAGCTGCCATGTGGGTGCTGGGAACTGAACCCAGGTCCTCTCTAAGAGCAGCCAGTGCTCTTAACTGCTGAGCCATCTCTCCATCCCCCAAGAGGATAACTTTAAATATCTACCTTCAAGAGGGGGAAAAAAAAAAAAATCACACATTCACATACGCTGCCTTAATATCTGTTTCTACATTGGAGATGGGGTTAACCAATGGTAGCATTAACACAACAGGTCGAAATGGGGCAACAGATCACCCAATGCTTTGTCACAAACCCTAACCTCTAGCCATGGCACCCGCATTAATTAAGTAGGGATGAGTCAGAAAGGAAAGAAGTTGCAGACAGAACACAGAACCTTCCTTATTAGCTCTACAAAGGCATGCAAAAACATCTTGTTTCTTAGTGGTTTAGCCTTCAGAAGTTATTCAAAATAGTTGCAACACAAAAGGTTAGAGGCGGGGCTGGAGAGATGGCTCAAAGGTTAAGAACATTGTTTTTTCTTGCAGAAGACCCGGGTTCGAATCCCAGCACCCACATGACAGCTAACAACTGTCCGTAACTCCAGTTCCAAGGGATCTGACAGCCTCTTCTGACCTCTGTGGGCATTGCACGACACGGGTGCACTTACCTACATGCAGGCAATACATGCAAACACATAAAATAAAAATAATAAATAAAATATATTAAAAAAAAAAGTTAGGGTCTGACAATGCACTGTAAGGCCCCACTTTCTGAGCTTCTGCCTATTCAGTCTCTGCATAGGTCACCGTATCTTAGTCACTGCAATTCTCATCTTGAACACAGGTTCTAAATGTGGGCATTAGTGCCCACCTCCTTACCACCACCACTCAGCCTGCTAGTTGCATTAGTGTAGCCTAAGTACTCTGAAGATACAGAATGTAGTATCTGTTCTTGTATTTTCATTCATATTCACAAAATCTGGCAGTGCTTCTGCTGACTCACCTCCCAGTACACACTGCTGGCCTTGTTCTTCAGTGTACCAAGAGATGCCTGCTTAGATACATCAACTTAGCTAGAGAAGTGGAAAATGTGTGTGTGTGGAGGGGGTGGGGCAGCAGTGAGGAGACACTAAAGACAGAACAAGCCAAGTGTTTTTTTCTTTACTTATCTATTTAATCTTAAATTTTATTTTTAGAATGTTCTTTACATCATGTGTGTGTGTGTGTGTGCGCGTGTGTGTGTGTGTGTATGTGTGTGTATGTGTGTATGTGTGTATGTGTGTGTGTGTG